AAATTGCAGTCTGCGCGAAACATGGCAGCTTTTCTCTGTCTCGCGTGTGCAGCTTCAGAACAACAAGTGTTATTTTCTACAGGAAAGGAGTATTCTTCGTGCTCGCCATCATAACGTGACGTCTTCTTGAAACTAGTAGTCATAAACTCTCGCCCACTTGTCGTGTCGTGCTTCGAACCAAAGATACAGAGAAAAAACGGTATCAACATCATAATACATAGGACTCGCCGAAACCATGACGCGTAACCGCTACTGCTGTGTCGCACGCTGCAGGTGCAAGCTACTACCACAGAATCATCGGTTCCTCCCTGCATCATATTGCTGGGCGGTTTTATACAACAGGAACACCCGGAACCCCATGCCCGTTTTACGTATATACAAGTAAAATTCAGCTTTCAGTGTATGAGCCACGGCAGACATTGCAAAGGCAGGGCGGGAACACCCTTTTCTTCCGTGCTTAAATGCATTTCAGTTCGTTCTGTGCGCGCCGAAACCTGGCAAGAGGCATGTAAGAAGGAAACACAGCGAGTGGAAAATCGGACCACGGCTCAGGTTCCATGAGAGAACCCAGGTGGAACCAATTTCGCACACACCACACGGCAACACGGCACAAGACCTAAGGACTAACACGCAAACACCCCTACGACGAAAACACCACAGGGGAAACAAGCTCAAAGTACGAACGAAACATTTCTACGGACGGCGAGAGGCGCATGCTACTGGACCTGCTCGTATTCGTTGAAGACTGTGAAAATGCCGTGCACGGGGCGGGTGCGCTCTCCGTGCGCTGTTGCCCCTCGCCGAATGATGTTCGCAAACTTGAACGAAGCATCTCCAGCGAGTACGGTTCCGTCCCAGCGCTGGTGCACGCGGGGCAAATAGTCCTCCCGCGTCCACTTCACGCCTTCCACCTCCAGCACAGGAAGTTCTGAGAAGTACGTGCGCCACACGTCCCGCAGGTAGTGGTCCGAGGGCACCGCACCGCAGTACTTCTCGGTGTCATCAAAAATCCCAAACTTCTCTGGTACTGGGGCCGCTCCGAACAAGCTCACCCGGCTCGATCGCCGGGCGTCAGCCAGTGACACGTACTTCAGTTGATACACCATAAACTTCGTCGTGTGTGCCTGCACAAATTATTGAGCATGCGATAAGTTTGGGGCGGGAGGGGTGCAACATGTTTCAGAACGGCACGTCGTAGACAGTACCGGGAACAGTGTTTCGCGAAACTTCCCTGACCAAATGAAAGAATGGTACGCAAATTTACCTGGCGGATGTACTTGGCAGCGGCGGAGAAGCCCTTCCCATGGACCAGGTCGTCTGCGAGCCGGTCGACAAGACGAATGTCGATACCCGACCGATGAGTGAGAATGAAAAGAAATTCCTTCGACACGTAGTCAGGAAGGCGATCCAGGCATCCTACATCCCACGCGTTGAAACTGGTACGGCGCTGCTCCGACTCCTCCACGGTCCCGTTGTATTCAACACACCGCTCGCACTTGTACCTGTCCGCGAACAAACAAGCGGGACAGCCGACAGTCAAACAGGCGGCGAACTGATCCGCGCGGTTTACAAATTGTATCACACCACATACTCGGCGTACCACCAAAAAACCTCACGCTGACTGGGCTTACCGGAATCCTATGATATACCCCACGTCTTCCTCCATGAACACCCGCCGTGGCCCCTTGGGATTCCATCCATCTGGCGAACCCCTTTTCCCGCACCTTGGACACGGAATTCCCGCCAGCGCTAGCTCCGGGAACAAATACTCGGGTATCCACGCGAACAAGCAGTGGCTTCAGAAGGAACGGAGAAAGTTTCGGCAATCCTGCGCAAAAACGTAGTGGACAGCGGTCATGGAGGCATGAGAAACGAAAATCGAGTTCGCGTAGCTTATGGACGGAAAGTGGTCAATCGCCAGGAGTACAAAACTGCTGTTCAAAGCAGCAAAGGAAACCCGGACGTCGGGTGCATACCTGAGGTGTTCTGCATCGTAGCACACTTCGGGAGAATGAGGGGGTTGCTGTAGGGGAACTTTCCACTGCCTCCCCTAGGTGCCGCCACGCCGATGAATGATGTTGGCGTCGATGTTCTTCTTGACGGTACGGAAATGATCCCGCATTGCAGGAGACAACCGTTGGCTATCCTCAACACCACCCCCGCCCACGGGAGGGGGAGCGGACGTTCCCGCCGCTCCACCTGCCCGTGCCGCTGCCCCTCTCCCAGCCTCTCGTACCCCCATCGGTGCTCGTCGTCCACTACCCCTTCCTCCGCCCCCCCCTGCACTCCCACCTCCTTGTGTTTCCCGTCTAGCTCTGCCACTGCCTTGACCTATGCTTGCTGCTCCGACGGCCGCCGCCGCCACAGCCGCAGCTTGAGCTATCGTCCCCCCTGTAACGGCACCTGCCGTGCCTCCTGCCGCAGCTGTTGGTCGAGTTTCAGCATAGGGACTAGAACTTGCAGTGCCGCCTCGTCCTCGTCTTTGTTCCCCTTGTAACGCCGCCGCCCCAGCCGCTAGTAGCGGTGCCGGTTGTTGAGGAACAGATGCGGTAGGTGGTGGTGGGCTTGCTAACGTTACTCCTGCAGTTGCCGCTTGTGTTGCTGTTGCCGCTGCTGGTGATGTTGCTGTTGGTGCTTGTGGCATTCCTGCTGTTACTGTTGCAGCTGGTTCTACTGTCCCTCCTGCTTCCGGCCCCTCTGTTGCTGCAACTACCTCTGATGCCGCTGCTCCTACGGGACGTTCTCTACGAGCTTTCCCCTTGCCTTTCCCCTTGGAAGACGGCGACTGGGTTGAAGCGGTTGCGGAGTTATTTGATGCCCCACGAACGACATGTACTGCCTGGCTCGTACTGCCTCTTCCGACGTCAGATATCGTCGTCGGTGTACTCCTCTCACCCGCACTTTCCTCGTCGTTGGTAGCACCTTCGCAACTGACTCGCTGACGCTTCCGTGTTGTTGTGTCTGCCCACCCCATGACCGTACGGAAAGCTGCTGCCTGCCGTGATCGCTTCTCCTCGTCGCTCTTTTTCTCTGTGTTTGATTTCGTCCCGGGCTTTTTTGCTCCAGCCGCAGGCGTTGATGCTTTCCTGCGACCCATGGTAAATTCCTCTGTGGTGCTGTGCGTGTGCTATGGGTTGTACGTGTGTGTGCTGCGGTGAGAGAGCTGTGTCCTTTCTCTTTGCGCAGACAAAGCGCAGAGTCCTGCCGCGTGCAGCGTTGCGCGCGCCTGTCCCGCCGGCGCTCCCGCGTCATTACAACTCCTCTGTACTAATCCCAAGTGCCACTTTTAAAACCCGCTTTCAAACTCCCAATCAGCTTCGTTCAAATGCGGTCGTTTGGGCCAATCAGAGGTGCCGCTTTTAAAAAATCCATCCCTACCCATGGTCCCTGTTCCTCAAATCTTCCTGTCACACAGCAAGCAGCCAGATCTACCCTGTTTCTGCCGTACGTCCGGTATCTACAGCAGTAGTGTCGGTAGAAACAATTCGCCCTGTGTTTCGCCGTGTCGAAATAAGGACTTTGCCCCCATGTGTCGTCCACCTCGCCCGTCCATGTATTGGTGATCCTCACGCGTGTTTGTGGTTCTGTGTTTGGCATACCTATTTGCGGCTGCTCTAAATATTACAAGGAAGGGCGATCGACGACGACGATCGACCGAGCGACGTCGGCGCGATCGACGAAGGCGACCCAAGGCCGCCCGATCGAGTGACCGACCGACCGCCCCAACCCAACCCTACCCTACCCAAACTTACCCAAACCTACACAACCCTACCCAACCCTACCCGACCCAACTGCGACGAACGACGAAGCGACGGCGGCGCAATCGACGGTGGCGACCCAACATCAACCCAACCCCAAACCAACCCAACCCAAACCCAACCCACCCAAACTAAACCCAAACCAACCCAACCCAACGCAACCCAAAACCCCGACCGAACCCAGCCCAGCCCGACCCAATCAAACCCGACCTAACCCAAACTGTATCCAACCCAACCGGACACGGTCGGTCGGGTTAAGACGAACCCATCAACACCAGAGGAGCAAGAAAACAACCCCCCAAAATCTGCCTGGTCCCAAGTGCACCGACTGCAACAGCAAGGCGGCACTTGCAACCAACACGCCCGCATCAACACCCTTCCCAAAGAAATCCGCACCGACGCGCAAAAACACTCTGCCACAAACATGCAGGTAGAGGAGTTGCGCACAGGAGCCGAGCGACCACGAAGAGAAGTAAGTCCGTACGAACCAGACCTCCTGATCGACTGACCAACCGACCGACGACCGACCGAGCGACACAACCCAGGCCTACTCTACCCTACCCTTTACCCTACACAACCCAACCCCAACCCAACCCCAACCTGACCTACCGACCGACCGACCGATCGACTGACCGATTGACCCACCCTACCCCACCCTACCCAACCCAACCCAAAATACATCCCAACCCCAACTCGACCGACCGACCGACCGAGACCCAACCCACCCTACCCCCAACTCAACCCAACCTCCCCGCGCGAGCGAGCCCGCGGAAGAGCTCCAGCTAGCCTTCAACCTAGGACACCTCTGACCACCTTCGGGAGGACCTTTACGGTGCTGCAGTTTGTTGCGGTGTGTTCATATATGGTCGTCCCTCAAGCCTTCAGAACGTCACCGTTACATGTTTGTCGGCTCTGTTCATTGCCGAGTGACGACCATGGTGGTGGAGACCTCTTTCACGTTCGCGTGTGGCGCTTCTTCTTAGGGTCCTTTTTATTTGGGTCTTTATGGTTTCAGGCTGTCTTCCGCTTTCGTTTCGAACTTCCTCTACGGATACCATATACGTACGTAGCAGTACAAATAAATAGTTTCGTGTTGTGTAAGGTGGGGTAGGGTGCGGCTTCGTTGTATGTTTGGTAGAGTGTAGGTACGGTTGGCGGAGAACACGTTGACATGTATGTGTGCGCGTTGAGACGTCAACGGGCAGCGGGGGCGTACTCATGAGTGCGCCCATGAGTACCCCGCCCCACCCCGTTGAGGGCAATCTCCCACACCACTGACAGTTTTTCTAAACCGCCCACGGGACACCCATGGGTCACCCATGGGCCGCACATGGGCACATCATGGGCACGTCATGGGCGGCCCATGAGCGGCCCATAAAGTGCCATGGGCGGCTCATGATGTGCCCACCGTGGGCACACTATCCTAGAAGTTCACCACATATAAACCTAGAACTTAGACACCTAACATCAACCGAGACCTTAGCCACCAGGGCCAACCTAGCATGTGTCGTGTGGGCGGGGTCAGGGTTACCGTTAGCGTTAGGGATATCAGCTGCAATATTGCTCGTTCCAACGCAGATGAATCTATTTTTAGGAGTAGTCTACTCTGGGTCGGTCGAAAGGCTTTCATTGGCCGCCCATGGGCTTCCCATGGGTTGCTCATGGGCCGCCCATGGGCTGCCCACGGGCTACCCATGAGCTAGCCCAAAGGAAGCCTGTATGGGCTGCCCATGGGCATGCACATGGGCATGCCCATGGGCAGCAACTACCCATGGGTCACTCATGAGAGAGTCCCATGGGTCGTTTGGGAAAACTGTAGAAAGTATGGGAGACCCGTTGAGGGGGGCGTGCAACCCAACAATAGGGTCGGGGCTTTGGGATAAAAACGTGAAAGGTGCGCAAGGATGTGAGGGCTTCACAGCCGGAAAGGAGGGCCGGCGGATTCGTCCTTGGATGGAGCCAGTAACAAACTGGAATGTAACAGTGTACGGGCCTTCTTTGGCGAAGAATCTACGGAGAAAAGGGTATGGGGGGGAGGACGAACTTACTGCTTGCTGCAGCAGTGCGAGGAAACCTCCAGCGGCAAAGAGGGGAGAGGCGGGGAATTCTTCGCCCAGCACCAACGGGTCCAGCGCGGCGCACAGGAAAGAGGGGTGGGGCAACTCGCCGGGCCTAAGTTGTTGACACTCGGCTGGGCAGGGCCTAGAGGGCAAATGGGAGGGGGGTTGCTCATATTTTCCATGCCTCAGGTTCTCGAGAGAGGACGGAGCAGCATTGTTCCAACAGGACCATTCACCGACGGTCAGTGGTTGATTGGGGGAGGGCGTACCTCATGTAAATGAATACCATGCACGGAAGGGTACACCAGAACCTGGTGGTTATCCTTGCACGTGCTGTGCCATACCAGATATATTTATGCGACGGGTTGACTAGGCATCCCGGCCAACCAAGCGTTTCACATCTGACAGCCACACGACTTTACACCGCGGCGGGGGCTACCCATAGTCGTGCATGCCTTAGTCGTTTGACCATTGACCCGCACGGAAGGGGGGGGGAGGGGGCTGGCGTGGAAGCCAATTTGGGGAGGCGTGGGAGTAGCCGTACCTCGTTATCGCAATCTTCAGTGGTGGCGGGAAATGTGGGCAGGACGTTGGAAACGAAGGACCAAATTGGAAACAACAGTATGTTGGCTGGATAAGAGCATTCAGGACAGCGAGATTTGGATGAGACGTTTGGCACGAGCGATCGTGTGGAAGAATTTCGTGGTGCAGCGAGGAGCATGGCAGACGTTGGAGATACAGCATAGGGGTGTTGCGCGCGGTTGTCGTTGAGTTTTGCGCAGGGAGATAGGAAGGCGGAATACATGCGGCCTCCTTTATTTGTCACGTGAAGCATGTATCGACGTACAGTAGACGACGCACTCCGGCATGATGCGCTTGGCTTGGCGGTGACGAGGGGCCTGAACGGCCGAGTTAGCTTGACGCTACAGGTGGGTGATAACATATCGTCCTCACCCCTGATCACAAGGATACTTTTACCACCCCACTGCGCACACGTTGATGAATCTACCCCGGATTCAAGCCAGTAAAGCTTGGTCATCCAGGTAGGCGAGGAATACCCGCGACCACTACAAAAAAATGGTACGAATGAGCAACGTCGCACATCAAATGGTACCTATGCGCACCCATGTAAATATTACCAAGGGAGCGGATGGTGAATGGATCCCACGAAAACAGCTTATGAAGATGGTCTATTTAGCGTATGCCCACAAGGAAAAACAAAATGTAACAGGCGGAGCTTAGGCCCATTACAATACGCTACACAGCCCCCAGACAGGTGGTATGTGTCAAACCGACTCCCCATCTGCAACAATCACATCAAGCACACGCCTCAAGATATACTAGCTGTCGCTACAACGAGCAACAGCTGATAGATGTAACTGTCGTCAGACGTGTGCATTCACGGGCGGGAACAGAGTGCAAACACCACACACTTGATACTACACCCACTACCTGCTGTGTTGGTGTAAGGGCTGTGGTCTAAAATCAAGTCATGTACTCTAAAACGTAGATTAGACGAACAGACTGCACAAACTCTTTTTTCTGGATGGAGCCTATATTGCGCTGTCTCTTCAGGCAAGATGAGAAATCTCGCTTCGCTCGAATAATCAGATCATTTTGAAATCACATGCCGCAGCCGAGTACTGCCCTCTCCTCTCCCCGCAAAACCTCCACGCTTGTCTTCGAGTGACACAAGCGTGGCTGCATTGAGAGGCTACCTACTGTAATCATGATCGGAGGGCAACTGCCTATCATGTGTTCTGGCGCCACGTGCACGCGCGTATCACCAGAAACCACCTGAATGTAAGGTATACAAAAAAACAATCAGCCCGAGGGGGACCGCATCGAAACCGCAAAGAGTGCCAAGAGAACCACACACTACACCACTTATGACACATGGACGCAGAGCAAACAAAGATGAGTGTGCGTACCTTCCCTCCGACAATAAATTGAAGAGTCTACCTTCGACCGACTGCACGCCTCCCTTCGAAAACAAACGCCACACGAGGGGGAGGGGGAACAACGAGCAACTTCGTCAGCACCACTAGCCGCCGCACGCCCTTTGTACAACAGCCGCTAATGGATTCCTTTTCAACCCGTCCGTGACGCAACTTGGCGTAATGTCTGAAACCGTAGCTAGGAGTCACACCGCGACGAGCCCTTGACGCCGATCGGCCTGACGTCAAGCACACACCGCAACGAGAATGTTCCGTTCGGCCTACGCCCATCTCGCTCGCATCACCGCCATAGATTATCTGTGCCGAATCACTTCCGAAAGAGATAAATCGCATTGCGAATGGAAAAGGCAGTACTGTCTACAGGGCAAACGCTCGCAGCCATCGGGCAGAATTCTCGCGTTCGAGGAAGAGGCGACCCGGTATTTGCCCTTACCCTACAAGCTGCGCTTTCGGAAACGGCCATACTCTTCACCAAGCCCTGTATGCCCTACCGCACGCTGCCGTCTACCTGCTCCTGACGGGCGGAACATTCAACTACCATTCAAAGAAGAGGCCACACGCCACACGCCACTTCACCCGCCTGTGCTTGCGTTACGCGGTCATACTTTTGCCATTGTCGGCAAGCCGAGCTGGCCCAACCGCTTAGTGCCGCTGTCTGCCGGCCGGACTTGCACCTTTTGGGCGGAGCTCCCGCTCGAAGAACAGGAGGCTCGACCTTTCCAAGAGCTGGCCTTGCTCAGCTCGCCAATATTTGGCGAGGCGCCGTAATTCAATCCAGGCCTACTGCAGCTGGAACAACTTCGGGGATTTGATCCAGGGGCGGCGGCGGCGGCTGGAGAACGCCTTTGGGCATCGGGGCCCTCATCGTGCCCGGTCGCCGCTGGTAACCCGAGCACGCCGTACAGGACGATGGTGTCTAGCGCGATGTGAATGTGCCGAAACGTCCACGTCAACACGATGAGCAATGACCTTCGTCGAAGAAACGGGGGCAAAAGAGGTACAAGGTACAGTCAGCGAGGGGGAAGGGGACGTTTCCTTGTGGAACGCTCCATATGGTATTTTGAGTTTCCATTGAAATGCCGTTCAGGCAGGGGGTGGGCGTACTCATGTTTTTGCGTGCCTTAGCTGTTTGACCACTAACGACGCATCCCTCGAGAGGACGGGGGGGGCGCACGCGGAGCACGTCGACATGATACGCATGGTGCGTTTGCGTGGTGTGGTATCGCACCGAGAGAAGACCGACGACGCTCCGGTATTAGCCTTAGCCTCGACGACATCCGACACCTACGGGGGAGGGGTGGGGGGTATGCTACATGGCCTTGTAGTGTACTGCTCTCATACGGAGAAACATGATTATTTGCCTAATGGGCTGACATTGCATGGCGCACGGCGTGCTAGGTCGAGCAGGCACAACGGACGATAGATAGCACCAAATCCTGACTGACGCCACGACACTATTAATGTGATCTTTTCCACTTTTGGCGGAACGCGTGGAGCCCTGGTTTGGTGATCTCACGGCGAACCAGGACGCGGCCAATTGGTCCCATGTAGAGTGTGTCTCCTTACCAAAAACAGTAAGATGAGATGAGGTGACCCCCCTACCGTGCTTGTGGCATCACCCTCCTGTCATATGAGGAGCGATGCGTACACCTATGCATCCGGCTTGGAAAGTACCAGCTGCCACGCAAACAGCGAGCGCGCAGTGAGAAGACGCGCCCCCATGGGCGAGTACCCCGTGCGGCACCATCTACAAAAACGGAATACTACACGCGTGCATACGAAAAGATACGAGAGAGGAACATGGAGCATGCCCTCTCCCACTACACTGTAGACAAAAAAGATCTCAATCCCGAAGCTGTGGACGGACATGCCTGAAGCTGCCACAAAACGGACGTTGTCTGAAACCTTCGGTACTACGAAAGGCCCTGGGCATCATTGCCTTGTTGCCCGGTACGGTACGATACCGCACATTCACAGGGACCAACGCAGCATGAGGTCTAGACTGGTCTCTGGATCGTTTGCTGTAACCTTTCGTCTGCCGCAGTTCATGTAAAATAACGGGCCCGGAAATAAGAAACGTCACAATCGGGTCCGGGCTCAGTTTCTCATTTCATCGCCGATGTCGAGCAAAAGTTGTTATTTTAGAGGCTAGGTTAGGATCCACCGGCAAAGCTGTGTTTCTTATCCCTTTTTTCGTGATAACTTGAGATTCTGTTACTTCACGAAATGCGGGCCCGTACTGCTACGGGAAACACTCACTTCTCACGTCCACCGACGACGTAGATCGTGCCGCAGACGCCAAGAGCCAGATTGACAGTTGTGCCGATGAGAGTCAGGCCGAAGTAGTAGCGGATACGGGCATGCACCTTCCAGCACTCCTTGACCTCGTTCATTCGGAACAGCAGCAGCCAGGCCACGATGACGAACATGCAGATCCCGACGAGAAACTCAAGGAAGAAGCGGGAGACGGTCAGCCAGTCGCCGGCCTGCTGCATCGATCATCCATTGCCAGGCACGAGCATTGAAACGACAAGGAACAACGGACATCGAAAACCACACACAGACACAGACGTGAGACGGGGCTAAGTAAAAAGGACCGGCCCTACACGGCTTTAATAACAGCAAGGGGTGGGTGGAAACCGCATTGGCGCAACGGACAAAAACCTGGACCTTGGATCTCCAGCGCTTCAGCTACCAAGTGATACACGCAGCCTTGCTGGCGATGGCGAAACAGGCAGTGACCACTATGTATAGTCGGCACATCGAGTGTTCGCGAACCTGGTCTTCGTTTCTGACGGCGAACCCAGTGCCGCTAACGACGGTTGTCTGCCAGAAGGGTGCGGCGGCGACAGCGGCTGCGATGGACACAGCGAGGCACAGGAAGACAAACGAGGGCGAGCTGAAGCTCTTGACCCGAGCCAGGGTTCGATGAGACTGCAATAGGGAGACGCGAAAGCGTGCCACGGACAAGAGGGGGGGTGAGGAGGGGGTAATCATGCAAACGCATGCCGTAGTCGTTCAGCCGTTTACTTCGCATCCCTACAAATGCCGGGACGGAGCGACATGCTGGGTTCTCGACGGCCCAGGCTACGTTCGACAAGGATAAACCGAGGGTGTTTGGGACCACGTGGCTCGGAGACCGCTCTGATTGCAACTCGTTTGTGACTCTTCCTGTTTTTTCCGTTCGTCCTATCGCTCCTGTGGGGACATGTGGACCATTGAGGTACCAAACAAGCGACAGCTTTCCCCACATCATTATTATCCTACATCATTATTCTCCTCTGCCCAGGGGTCAAGCATGGGAGACGGGGGAGACGGCGGCCCAAGAGGGGAACAACAAAACTGATGTTTAAATAGTTGCCACTGCAGGTGTTGAGCATTCCAGTAGCACAAAAATGACAAGCAGTTGCACAGCTGATTATCTATCCTTCACTGACCATGATGACGAGGGCGAGGTTGGTGCAGATGGCGAGGTTGGTGATCGCCAACACGTTCGACGCAACTAGCTCGAGGAACTTCAAAGCCTTGATGAACCCCGTGACGTTGCTTCCGGCCCAACAAACCAATACCATGGTTGCCTCCGTCTGAATAAAGAGCTGGTGTAGGAGACCACTGGTTTGTAGGGAAGCAAGGAATGAAACCACGTGGGGTTTCCAAATTGGCCAAGCGCGAGGGGGGAGGACGCGGGGGGGGGGGGGGGGGCGTACTCTTATGTTTTGCATGCCTTAGACCATTGACCACGCGTCCCCGAGAGAACGGAGCATTTTCCACAGGACTTATCACGGATGGCCAATCCTTCCTACTTTGCCAAAGGTGGCTCGGGGAGCGGATGAAAACTAAATGAGCGGGTCATGAATTGTAGCATAATAGAAAACATGAACGCAGGACGGTCAAAGTGTACAGCGTACCCTCAAATTTGAACATATGGCTATGTACTGTAGACAAAACCAATCCGCGAGAGACTTTCAAGTTGGAAATCAGAACATGAATGGGCCCTCCGTCACCAAAAGGCAATATGCCAACGTGAGTCAAAACAAGAAAACGCGCCATGTTCTGCCGTTCGGCCAGCGCCAATTTTTCCCAGTCTGTCCGGCGACGTCGAGCAATCGGTCCGGAAAACAAGATTGGGCTGTTGAAGTGCAAAGCATATCGAGCACTTTTGCAAGGCACGATACGGCTCTGGGCACCGTTTCCCTGACAATTGGTTGACAAGGGTCTCTGGAAAACGCACGAGACATGTTGCCGTTCGGCAGTCAACGTGAACAGAGCATGCATTCTCTCAAGACCGTCGAAGTAGGTGGGGGAGGGTGGGCTCAAAGCGCGAAAAACAGTAGGGGGTTCTCTGTTTACCCTAGGGTCCAAATGTGAAATGGTTATCGCGCACTTGTTGGAAAGGAGGTTGGCAGCCTGTCGCATTAGTGATATTGGGAGATATTTTCTAGCAGAGCTACGCATTAGTGGAGATTTTCTTGCAGGGCTACGCATTAGTGATATTTGGAGGATTTTCTTGTAGGGCTATGCATACTTCATTGGAATAGCGGACGAAGATGAGGCTACAGTACCGCGAATGTCCTCTCTACTATTACCACCCCATGATTACGATGGTCTCTTTGAGATATGATTCCCCTATCCTAAATCAATTCCCCTCTCTCGACGATGACGTTTGTTATTTCTCGTACATCGAATGTAGCGTGGTTTTGCACCCTCGTCCACACGCTATGGCGATGGTGGTCTTCCGCTTCGTTTTTTGGTGTGAGAGGATGGTTGAGGACCTGTGGAAAAAATGAGTCACGTGTCGCGGATTGCTTTACGTTGATGTTCGTGAACAGGAACGGATAAGGATGCCCTCTACTCGCTTCGATGGGGAAGGATGGGGTTCGGGAACGGAGCTGCTTTTTATCTACGACCGGCGAGGAACTCGGCACAGTCTGAATTACGGTACAGTTCATGGCCCTCTATAGTACAGAGGTGTGTCAAGAAATTTTGCCTGAACTAGTGGGCACGACATATAATCAGAATAGTGCGTCAATAGTACAGGTTCGGCACTATTGAGGCTTTGAGTATACCTCAATACCGCAGGTCCGGCACTTCATGATGTGGCGCTCATGCTTTGCGAGGCTAGCAGAGTACGACATGGATCGAATTACAGTAGTGCTGGGCCCTGTTCTAGCGTGGGCGTGGGCAGACTGTCCCGCGACGCGTGTGGTTCCCCCCTGTCGCACAGAGAGAGAGAGAGATGCCTTAGAAAAATTTCTTGCAAGTTGCACCGTTATTTTCTTCCTGCTTCAGCACTCGAACTGCACTGCACCCTGTACTGTCGCAAAAACCAACCCTTCAACATTAATACATTGTGGACGAAGCAAAATCTCAGTCCTCGCCGCCCTCGTTCGATGCTGCAAAATAAAAAAAGACAAAGACAAAACAAAAATTAGAAACACGCCAGGAAGCGCACTGCAAGTAAACAACACAATCACTACTGCTAACAGTGGGGGCCCGCAGGTAAGAAACGTCAAATTCGGATCGAGCCTCCATCCCTGTTTTGGGTCAAAGGACCAGCCGAAGTAGTCCGTTTCTTTAAAAGCATTTCTTATTCTTTTGGAACGTTGCATCCTCCCAACCCTCTTATCATTTCTCACTCGTATATTTCCTTGCGTGGCAAAGAATACTTGAATGGTCATCATGACGCTTATTATCCATAGAGAGATGGAGCTCGCGGTGTGTGGTGTGGCGAAATAACCGCTCTGGTTCCCCCCTACCAATAAAATGCGCTGTTCAGCTAGCTAGGTAGTAAAGTGGGAACACGGAAGGAGAAACAGTGGGATGTTTCTTATTGGGCACACTGCCCAGCTACCCCTTGTTTCTCATGTCTTGAGGGTGTCGCACCATCATGTTTTTTATTGGGACGTTTCTTATGTTGTGGCCGAGATTGAGCTTGTGTTTCTTAGGCTGATTATAATACACCTGACTTCCTTTCCCAAAATACCTCACTTTTTAGGATGGGCAAAAATCCGGCTGGCAAAAGTCCGGCCGTTATTACAGTGAGCCAATTTCTGAGGCGGATTCTTGGGGGGTGGGCGGCGGATTCTTGGTAGGTGAGTGTAGATCAACCCAGACGACATTATCATCGAGTGCGACCTGAGTTCTTGGAGTTTCGCTCCCATCAAGGGCTCCCAGCAACCCTACGCTTAAGGATTCTGCACGCTGGCTGTTGATGGTCGCTCGGCACGCGTGCGTAAAAAAAAACGTATATAGCGCACCAAGCATGTGTGTGTGTGTGTTTTCGTCCTATTTATTATGGCGACAGTCCCCCCATTTTTCGTGGTGAGACGTGTACTACACTTTTCAGTGTATTTTTTCGTACAACTACAACCATCCAGGGTCACACAGGAGGGGGTAAACACCAGGGCTATTTTCTTCTTTTCATTTCTTTTCATGCCCCACTTTCCTCCTGCGGTGCGTGCTGAATTTCGTTTTTATCGTGAGAAGGATCCAGCCGTCCCTTTCCCTCGTCAACGGTGCTAACGTCAAAGTTTGGTACCTACGAGAGCTTTTTTCAGCTATATTTCGCTTTCACCCGCAAATTTCGTAAATTTTTCACCCCATGGGGATTCGAACTCACGACCTCCTCTGCGATTAGCGGATTACGAGGATACCACTAGACCACCGGGGCGACCGGCAGATGGGAGATGGGTGAATTTCTGGTCTCGCGGGGAAAAGGGGAACGAAAAGGCAAACGGACCGGAGTAAACAACGTCGGAAAAGGCACATATTATATATATATTATATCACGATTCGTCTAATGAGTCCTACATCTTGATTAATGAATGCATTCGCTGCATACGGGGTTAGAATTTTTTTTTTTTCGTATATTTTTTGACCTCTCTCGCCCAATACTCCATTTCACGACTTGAAACCACGCAAGTGCGTTCATCACGTGCAGTTTATGAGACCTACGAATGGAATGACGCCTTGCTCATTATGACACCGACATTGACACCTTCGCAAAAGTAGACCTCAGCCGCTGTGTGCTTCCCAACATCCACGTACACGTTCTGCATGCATCGACGCGCATGGACGTGACATTACACAACACAAACATCGCCACCCTTTATGCATTCATCAAACGTCGTCACAACATGACAAGTAGTTACGATTGGCCATGCTCACTGCAGATTTACAGCATTCAGATGCCCCATGCTCGCTGCCGCATACGGGCAAATATACCGATTTTCTGCAGACAACCTCGCTCGCCAATCAAATTTTCGCCGCATATTATGTTTACCCGCATCTACAGTAC